CCAGCTGGTCTAGTTTCATCATTTTCTTTATTTTTGGGGGTTTCTTCACAAAGGGTTTAGGGCAGTCAGTCTCAGACACATGCCATGGGTAAGCATGGTCAGCTGTCGGATCCCGTTCCCCTCTGGGCCAAGAGAAACAAACTGCAAATAATCGTGTCATCCCATTTCGGTGGTGTATTCATGTATAATAAATGTTTTTAGGCTTCTTCTTAGATCGATATTATGTGTTTAATTGAGATCTATGAATAGAAGATAATATACCGTTCATGTTGGCTAATTTTGCTGCTATGTTAACATTCCTTTACAGTCCACTCATTATCTTTTATGAACAGTATGGCGTGAATCTAAGGCATCAGGAATATTTTGCCGACAGCCCTTCTACTGGAATGGATCCTGCTACTCGAGAAGAATGAGTATTATCTTGTTTATTTGTGTGTTCAAGCTTCTAAAGTTTTATATGTAGTAACTATTGATTTTATACCAAAGCTGAATTGAGTTTATTCTATTTATTGATATGTTGCTAGTTCTCTATCTCTAGTTTTATGTTCAGTATATACTGAAGTCATAGTGCGGTACGCCCATTTTACTGGCCTGAATTTGTGTTTAATTTCATATTTTTTAATGATATGATGCTCAAACTATAGCAACTTCTCCTCGATTCTGACTAAGCTATCCTAACTTTAATAGTGCTTGTGGTAATTAATTTGTGAATTTGGTATGTGAAAGTACTCTGTCAGCAATGAACTTAATCAAGTTTTCCTTTGTTCTCAAATTTTAATTGGTATGTGTATAATGCATTGGAAAAGTCATGAAGGTTTTTATATATTCATTCTTGTTCAATTTTAATGTTTTTTATTTTAAGAATACACTTGATATTGAAACTTAAAAATATATTTCTAGAGGACTTAATTAATCCCTCTGAAAGACTAAAGGTATGCTCTAGTTACCTAGATGCAGAACTAGGTATTACTATAAATACAACTTATAAAGACTAATACACTAAACCTTAAGTAGGTTTAATGATTAAGTAGGTTTAATGATGATACATAGATATAATTATTCTAAGACTCTTTCTCAAATTATAACATATAAATTGCATGTATCAAGCTTGAAACAAATAAACTCACTTCGATGACTTACTATAAATACAACTTATATATAATGCACTGAAGTTGTATCCAATTAAAATCACTTTAGTTATATACTAAAATTATACAAAACTAGCACATCAGTTGATATAATAATACAATGAAATAATAATAAGCTAATTTAACTTTAATTAAAAAATTACAATATTGAAGTCCAAGTAGACATAGTTTCTTCGTAATGAAGTTGTACTAAATTGACAAACTCTCATTTTAGTAATTTTTTAAAGTTTTACACTATTTGATATATTTGAAAGGGAAATTGCACTATTTTAGAGTTTTTGTCTAACTTACACACTAAAAGGTTCATGAGAATATAATGTGACTTAATCTATCGTTCATTATCATAAAAAAAAAAATCTTAAAAAGATTGCACCAAGGTTAAACCATATAAGATTTCATATAGGATTAACACAACACTCATAATAAGTTAGCAATGGTTACATTTCTTCCAAAGATAAAAAATGAATTTCAATTTGATTTTAAAAATTGATCACAATAACCTATTTCAATTTTAGTTTACGAAAAAAAAACTTGAATTGGATCATTATAATCTCAAAAAGTAATTAAAAAGCAGTAGGAATGCTTAATATTTTTTATTTGGTATTATTATTTTTTAACACACGTGATAAACAAATAAAATATTATTATTAAAATATATAGTTAAATTAAACAAAAATTGCATTTATACAATATAAAAAAAAATATTATTTTTTATATACACATTTTCTTTACAATTTTATTTTTTAAGTGATTTTTTTTAAAATTTACCTATTTTTAAAATTAAAAATAACTATTTATAATAAAAATATATACAAAATAAATAAAAGTATCTATAGTAAAATTACAACAGTTATTTATATTATTTTTATAATTATAATAATAAAAAAAGTATTATTTTTATTATCATAAAATAAAAGTAAACATATAACACATATTTCCACTTGTAAGAATGATTTGTATGTAAAATAGACAAATAATATTTTATTTTATTATTAATTATTTGTTATTACAGCTTGCTTGTCAATGCAAATTTATCAAGATATCCTAAGGAAGAAAACATTTGAGAGTGTTGTGGGCTGGAGTAGGAATGACCAGTAACGAAAGTCTAATAATTTTACTCAATATATTTTATTTTCTATAATTTTGTATCCATATTTTTTTAATAGATATTATTATTTTTATAAATAATTTTTTTAATATATAATTATTCGAACAGAATACATTCGAAGTCGTGGTTCGGTCAGACCATATAGTGGCCTAACAAAATATCAAAATTAATAGTAAAGTATTAGTTCACATTTATATATTTCTGTTTGTTTTTATTGTAATATTTTTATTTAAACATAACTTTAATACAGTATACACATATTTTTTTTTATTTCTAGTGTAATAAAAAAGTCGAATAAAATTTTAAACAATTATATATATATATATATATTATTTACCAAATATATAAAATTAAAATCAAAATAATAACAGAAAAATGCACCCGCAGTCCACTAATTAATTTATTGACACTGATGGCATAATCCAGTAGATAGATACAATTACATTTATGTATGAAATGAACAATGAATTATGAATTTAATTTTTGTACATCTTCTTTTACCATGAATTTATGTGAATGCTAAATACTATGAATCTTCGTGTCTGATGACCAAGTGGAGTCCGCAGTAAAATGGTTTTTCACCTTTTTACTCCTAATAAAAATTTGCTAGATATATTTTCTTTTCTATCTTAATATTTTTTTTTCTTTTATCAGTTGTATTCCTTTTTCCATTTTCCCTTTTTCATCTTAATCTTGTATGCTATACTTTCCTCATCCACCACCGAACCCTAACCCTAACCTTCATCCATTTCTTCTGTTCTCTCTGCTTTTGCTTTGCAACAATTCCATCTATGAATAGCCAGTCGCAGCTTTCATGAGCATATAATGATCTTAGCGTTGCGAATCGATTGCATGGGTTTGGAGAATGCCGGAGCTTCGTAGTGGACCGCGACGACGTCGTGCTCCGGTTGGTCGTAGAAGCTCGGAACAACCGTCTTCGGGGGGGAGATACGTGAAGACTCGCGCTGCAGTTGCCAGGGAGGCGGCGGCGGCGGCGGCGGAGAGGCCAAGGACTCGTTTGGCGGCTAAACAATTAGAAGAGGAGAAGCCGGTCATTGTCATATCCGATCATACGAAGAAGAAAGTTGAAGGCGGCGCGATGGGGGATGAGAGTGGTGGCCTGAGTGCAAACAAGGGTGTTGCGCAAGAAGATGATGCTAACCCAGCTCCTTTCCCGGATAGGGTATTCTACTGCTTTTTAATTACTTATTTTTTTTTTTGTTTGAGCATTATTTGGTGATGTTAATATGTGGATACTTATAATAGTTGTTTCCACTCCGCAGGTTCAAGTAGGAGGATCGCCTGTCTACAAAGTGGAGAGAAAACTCGGCAAAGGAGGATTTGGACAGGTTTTTGTTGGCAGGCGAGTTACCGGTGGTAACGACCGTACCGCTGGTCCCGGTGCCACTGAGGTAAGAACTTATCCTGTTATCTCGCTGTTATATAAAGAATACTGTATGGGGCTTTAAGTTGATTGCATGTTTGTTATCTTTCGTGTTTCAGGTGGCTTTGAAATTTGAGCATAGGAACAGCAAAGGATGTAACTATGGCCCTCCTTATGAGTGGCAAGTCTACAAGTAGGTGCTCTGTTTATTATTATGTTATAAGAAATATATATGTTGTCAATTGCTTTTGATTATGTACAAGGTTTGCGTTGAAGTAAATTGGCCCGGTATTTGACCCTTTTAATGGTTTATGTGGAAAGCACCCTTGGTGGCAGTCATGGAATACCTAGAGTACACTATAAGGGGAGGCAAGGAGAATATTACGTAATGGTATGGTCTACACAACAGCCATTTAATATTTTCATCGCCAACTTACCTACTTAACCTTGGGTGGCTATGTATGCAGGTTATGGACATGCTTGGTCCAAGCTTGTGGGATGTTTGGAATTCTTCAAGCCAGGCGTGAGTATAAGCTAACCCCACTTATTATATCTGGTGTGTTGTTTATTGGTCTCGTGTTTTAAAAAAAACTAGTATAATTCTTCTTGTTTATCGTAAAGTTATTATATGGAAGTGAGGTGACCCCTTTTTTAGCTTCATTTTCTTCCACATGCATATACTACTAAATATTAAATAAATATACTAATGGAATGGACTTAAAGAAGTTGGAGTTGCAATAGTTGTTGATGGTATCTTGTGTTAGATTCTTTGTGGTGTCATGTCATCTTTTGGTTTTCTTTTCTCCAAAAAGTTGGTTTTGTCTTGAGCTAAATTCGATTCCCTTTTTGTTTTTATATAAATGACTACTTAAGTAAATACTTACTGAATTAGCTTTTAATCCATTACATTCATTAATGACGTATATGATAATAAGATGCATACTTTTTCCCTTCCATTATGTATTATGCCATCTCTATTGTAGTACTTCTTGCTGTGCCACTCTTTTTACGTTATAAACCATCCGTGAACTGCAATCAGCTCACAGTTCACTTATCTTGGCCAATCTTTGAGTATTACTGTACAGAGACACAAATGGAAAACAAGCAAAGGCAGTTACCATAAAACCTATAAACTCTCTCTATCACAACAAATGATACTTATAAGAATTATTAGTATTCAACCTATAGGCTGCAACAAACAGTTATCATTGGAATTATGTGTAGTCATGTCATAAAGTTGGAATCCGTATTTAGCGTACATTGTTCTGTTTAAAAACCATGAGAAACACTTAAGGCCAAAACAGTGAAAAAATTAGATATTATACGTATTTTCATTCTCAAGCTAACCTTTAAGAGAACCTACTATTTTGGAATTTAGTACTTCTCCCACAAATACCAACAAAATGTCATTAGGTAGATTGTCTATTCACTAATATGGAGCCACATGAATCCCTTCCAATGGTGTTAGGAGGAGCAACCACCATTGTCCAATGAATCTAAACACCAAGAATACAACGAAGAGGTTAAACAAAAGTTCCCAATTTGAAAGGTTTAAGGTTTTAAGGAAACCACAAATATCGCAGTATCAAAGTTTTCACTAATCTCTTTCATATTATAATTTCTCTGTATTTATGGGTTATGAATTTAGCCCATGGAGGTCCACATAAGGTTTTGAGGGATGGATAAGGTAATGTTACTTTTAGATTGAATCACCTTCCCCATACTTGTATGCCTCATAGGTGTGAAGACTTTGTGAGTTCTGAAACAATGGAGGGAGAAGAATGAGGAAGAAAACTATGAGAAGGGGGAGTTCTGTTTTGTTGCTGGAAAGGGGGGGGATGGTTCTTGGGTTTGATAAAATAAAAAGGGAGGCAGTGATTCTTTTACTATTTTTTTTATTTGAAGCAGTTATTGTACTTCACTTCTTCCTTCCTTTTCTGGAGTGACTAAGTCTTTCATTGTTTATTCTTTGAAGTTATGTTGACAGCTGTGTTTTGAATGTGTAGAATGTCTGCAGAAATGGTTTCCTGCATTGCAGTGGAGTCCCTGTCAATCTTGGAGAAGATGCACTCTAGAGGGTATGTTTGCAAAGCAATTTTTTATATATTAATCCTTTTCTTATTGATTTGCTTGCCATAATCCAAGTTTGTGAGTTGTTATACTGATTATTGGTTTCTAAAGATATTTTTGTTCCTGTTGCTCATTATAGCTATGTGCATGGCGATGTAAAGCCGGAGAACTTTTTACTAGGCCAGCCATCTACACCACAAGAAAAGAAACTGTATCTTGTGGACCTTGGATTAGGTTAGTAGGTTCAATTCAAGGATGATACACTTCATCCGTATCTACACTTTCCTTTTTGACTTTTCTTATTTATTAGCACTTCTTTTGCAGCTACGAAGTGGAGAGACACGTCCAGTGGGCTGCATGTTGAATATGATCAACGTCCTGATATGTTTAGGTTATCTTTTACCTTTCAATTTTTTTCTCTTGAATTCATATTTTTTTTTTCTATTATAGCTTGTTTCATGGTCATGGTTATCAAAGTGCTTCTGAGTTACATTTGTAATTTTTGTAGAGGGACTGTTCGATATGCCAGTGTTCATGCTCATCTTGGAAGAACTGCTAGTAGAAGGGATGATCTTGAATCTCTTGCCTATACACTCATTTTCCTTCATAAAGGCAGGTTACCTTGGCAAGGTTATCAGGTATATACATTGTGAAATAAGTGTTGTTTTAGCAATTTATTTTGTTCGAATCATCTCAGGAAACATTTATTTTGTTTCTCCAGTTTTTTGCTCTCCCTAGACTAGTGCTCATTACCTGTTTTTGTTCTGAAATATACTATATTCATAAAATATAATCCCAAGAAAAGGATAATCGAGGGTGTGCTTGGAAAACTGTATTTGAGTTTATTTTATTATACATACACTTGAGTGTACAGAGTTACAGAATCTAATTATTAATGATTCAGTATGATATGGCTACCAATTGGTTTGTATTATGTGATGTATCTCAACTTATTTTAACTCATACAATGCATGAATGAATCTGTGCACAAATCATGCAATTCAATGTTTCAGTAATTTTCTAATTTTAGTGTTTTCTTTTACCTTTTTGCCACTTCACTTCCTGACATAGCCTTAGATTGTTCAATAAAAGGAATTGAAGAAACACTTATGAACTTAATATATTTGATTATTCCACTACTTTATTTGTCACCCTCTCAATCAATGCTTATATTCTACTTGGTTATTTCATTGCTTGGTATCTATTTTCGTAAAACAAAGGCTTCAAAAACTCAAATATAACCTACAATTTTTGTTGAATTGTTTTATCTATTTCTTTCTTAAAACTATTACATTGAACACTATTTATGTAATAATCTGTATGGTGTATTTGAAGTTATTTTTTATTTTCCTTGAATATTGCAGTTCAATACTTGTTACAACTCATGATTCAAAATTTATGATGATGATTCATGATTTGAATATCAATTTGATAACCTTGTATGGAAGAGCTTATGAAAGTAACTTAGAATGTGTTCACATGTCATAAGCTCTCCAGCTTATGAAAACAACTTATAACTTGTATAAAATCAATTTAACCATATTTCCTCTTCATTTATAAAAGCTAAAAAAATAAGCCTTATATGTTACTACCTCCGTTCTCATTTATAAGCAAAAAATATCGTACTTTTTCTTATTCTCAAATATAAGGAAATGTTAACTATTTTTACTTCATTTTATTTAGTCATTCTTTCCTGAAATACGTTAACTTTAATTGATTTGTTTATCTAGAAACATGCTAATTATATGGTCATATTTTTATATATAGAATTTACGATTTTTCATTATCCTTTTGCAACACTTGTACAAAACTTACTTTAGAATGGAGAGTGGTAATTGAGTTTTTCTACATATACTGTTTTAATCTGATTTTTCCTTATTTTTAGGGTGATAACAAATCCTTCCTTGTCTGCAAAAAGAAGATGGGAACATCGCCTGAGATGCTATGCTGTTTCTGCCCTGCTCCTTTTAGGCAGTTCCTTGAGATTGTAGTAAACATGAAATTTGATGAAGAACCTAACTATTCTAAGTTAATTTCTTTGTTTGATGGTATGCTTGGACCAAATCCCGCATTGAGGCCAATTAATACTGAAGGTGCTCAAAAGGTATAATCGTTACTGTCTGGTTTTAGATTATCTGTTTTTCTGAGTGATCAGTCTTTATTATTTTTTGTACATGTGGAAACTATATGGAACCAAGTTGGGGAATTTTCCCTGTTTACAAACAGAATTTTCTCTTACTCCCTCAGATAAATGTTCTACTTTTGGAAAGTTAATTTTTTAAGTTAAATTGTATGGCACAGTGTGACACAAGCAAATTTTACTAGTAAACCATATCAGGCTTAATGGGCTTCGCTGAAGTTTCAGTAAATTTATCCACTGTCACACTGATAGCCATTCATCTATGCCTCTCCTACTAATAAAGTGTAGAGCTCTCTTTATGTTTTGACACTATTTTTACTTTCATGAATTTGGTCTGTGTTCATGGTTTTATTCCCTCAAATAAAATGTACCAGGTTGGGCAGAAGAGGGGTAGATTGAATACTGAAGAAGAAGATGATTCACAGCCCAAAAAGAAGGTCCGTTTGGGGGTTCCTGCTACACAATGGATTTCAGTCTACAATGCAAGACAGCCAATGAAGCAAAGGTAGAGCTACAGTCTCTTTTTGGCAGGGCTTGGTTAATTGAGTAATTAGATATCTGAATTTTATTTTGGTGTGCACTTTGCTTAAATTAATATTTTAACAAAATGGTTTTCCAAGTCAAACAAAAATATTTTCTAAGTCAGACAAATGTTTGGTTTAGTTTTACGAGGGCTCAACTCAACCTTGAATTTGATTTCACTTGTTTAATATCATAGTTTGACATATATTTATTACAGGCCCGATTTTAAGTGCACCCTTTTGGTACTGGAGATTTTTTTCTCATACGTAACTTGAGTCCTTCTAGTAGTTGAACTTATATGTTATTTCATATCTTGTACTGAATTTATTGAATTCACCGAAAAGTATGAGTGCCAGTGCTGAAATATTTATAATATGCAAGAGTATTTTCTAAGAAATAAGTAATTTTAACAGTTTTTATAGTATGCTAGAGTAATTTTTAGATAGAATGCAGTGCTCCAAATTTCGGCTTTACCTTGAAGGCAAAAATGTGTACCAAAGTTGTTAAAATTGAGAGTTTACTTAAATCCTTGGAAGTTCCATAAACTTGCAAGAGTTTATTTAATCTTGAAAATCATTAAAATATCAATAGTAAAATAATATTCTATATTTTAGTTTCATGACAAAGCAAAATAGTAAAATAAAACATCCCAATATAGTCAATACATTACACTCGAATTTTCAAGTAACAAAATACTATATTATTAAGTTTATTATTTTTTTATTTTTATATCATATTATTCTTTTTGTTTGTAATTGTTTGGTTATACTATGTATGTTATGCTTTAAATACTTTTATCTTTTTAATGCTACTAATTATTTATTTATTCTATTATATTAAGTAGCAATTATTGGTTAACAAGTACAGAATTCATTCAAACCTTATTTTAACGGACCCACTGAAAAATATATTGGACTTGAATACGATACTAAGTAATCTGACCTGACCATAATGAAGTCACGACTCAACAAATTTAAAAAAAAAAAATCGCATGGGCCTTAGTTGCTGCCTGGCCCACCACTTTCCTTCTTGCCAATGCCTCGTGTGCAGCTTAACCTAATGCAACTACACTATTGATTGTTTTAAGGTCAAGTGAAATAATTGTAATAGCCATGAAATCCCCTTTCTGTAATGCAATTCTGCATAATATTCACTATTGATTACACGCGATGCAATGGGTTCTCAAAGAGTGAATTTTTCTCCACTCCTCACATCTGAGACTGTGGGTGGCTCTTTTCAATGTTTATGCAACAAGTTAGAGATGACTGAGAACCACAAAATCAACTTCCAACTGAAGATCCAACCAAACACGTATAGTATGATGTAGAAATGTAAACTTGTCGAGTTGACTTGTTATTTGGATAACCATGGTGTCTACTGCTCGAACATTTGTTATGAGTGTTTTTGACTTCTGAGTTGGTTGTAATTAGGTATCATTATAATGTAGCGGATGCAAGATTAGCGCAACATGTGGAGAGAGGGATTGCAGATGGGCTCCTCATTAGTTGTGTGGCTTCTTGTTCCAATCTCTGGGCACTTATTATGGATGCTGGGACTGGTTTTTCCAGTCAAGTTTATAAGTTGTCACCATTTTTCTTACATAAGGTGAAATTATATGATATAATATAAATCAGTACATGTCTTATAATTTGTTATTTGTTTTCATTTGACGAATCTAACAAATGACTCTTTCTTTTCAGGAATGGATCATGGAGCAGTGGGAAAAAAACTATTACATTACTTCGATTGCAGGAGCTAATAATGGGAGCTCTCTTGTTGTGATGTCAAAAGGTATGCTTTTTAAGTTTTCATTATGAATGGTTGATAACAGACTATTTATTACCCCCTTAAAATGATGATGTACCTTATTCAATATTATGATGTTTTTGGGAATAATTTCAACCAGTGTAGTTAGAATGGTAAGAACGTATGATTCAAATTGCAATTTGTTACAAAATTCTTCCCCAGCTATACACATAGTTTGATGAATCGTTTTGGGACCTGAATCATAACATGAATAGGTGAATCGGATGTAAACTGTGTGATTCACGATTTGGTTTCCATTACATGTGATTCATGATGAAGAAACTAAAAACCAAAAAACTCAGAAACACATAGGAAAAGAAACTGAGTGAAGATGAAAGTTCAGCGGAAAAGCTGAACAGTGGAGAAGATGAACAGCAGAGAAGATGAACATCTGATAATAGAACCAACACAGAAGGCAAACAGTAAAAAGAGAACGGGAGAAGATGAATAGATAGAACGGGAGAAGATGAGAGAAGATGAATAGATAGAATGGGAGAAGATGAACAGAGAAGGGAGAGAAAATCAACCTGGGAGAAGATGAACCCATGAACCACAGAAGACGAACATAGGAGGAAGAAGAGTGTGAAGATCAAGCGAGAGAGAGTTCTGAATGGGCCTTTAAGAGTAATATTTTAAAATATAAAATGCTTTTTCATTGTTCTTTTTTTAATCTTTACTCGTACCAACATACTTTTACACAGTCATAATTTATATATTATTTTTTATTTTTCTATCTTTTTTATAAAAAAATATTATTAGAAAAAAAATTAATTATTGTATAAAATAATATATAAGTGTTATCTTATTTTTTATTTTTTATAAAAAATTAGTTTAATATTTTCTTTCTACTATTTTCTTTTATAAGAATTTCTCAATATTATTTAAATCAGTGTATATTTATTCTTATATTTTTATATTACATTTGTTGTCATTTATGGATTTTTATTTAACTTTTTTTGAAAAGAAAATAAAAATTAATATACAGTTTGTTATATTTTTTTTTATAAAAATTAGTCATTGTTTAAGGATTTTGATTATTTTATCTTTTTAAGTTACATAAGTTATACGAGTTGTGTATTCTACAATTCAAAACAAGATTCAATTCATGATTTATAATACATAAAAAAATATTCACGATTTGAATCTCAATTCAATAACCATGATTTCAACTTGACCGCAATTTTAGTTTGCACTTGTTCTGACTTTTGTACTAGTATTGTGAAGAGACTATTGTTTCTACACTTGCATTTGGTTTGTCTGTTTTAATAGTGAGATAGGAGTGAACACTGTATTGTCAGTTTTTGGTCTAGGTTAGATTGGGGATTTCAGAAAGAGGTGGAAGGATGGTTGGGGGGTTGCATAAGAAAAGATGGCACGGAGGATCTTTAGTCAATGGAATAGGGGGTGCTATTGATGAGAAGTTGGAGCTGATAGGTTACTGTGGACAGATCATGGTTTCTTTGCTTCTGCTAGCAGGTTATGATGTGAATAAGTAGAGGGTGAAAGGAAGATAACCGTGGTGTCTGAACATAAGTGAATCAGTATTTACTTATTCACTTATGTCTGAACATAATATTTATACAGTATTTACAGCCAAATTATCAATTTAATAATTTTAATAGAGCTGTAGTAAACTAATTCAATTACTGCTAGCATTAATGTTTTTCCTTTATTTGCAAATTTATGAGGGAGATGGAGAATGTAGCCTTACATTGTAAGGGATAAACAACACTTCTAAGTATTGTTTATCTTTACGTTCTAGGCGAATTTTGCGTACAGTTCTCTGTGGACAAAGATTTGAATTTCTGCAGACCTCTACTTACAAGCATTCACCTGTTGCTAGATTTGATTTTTGGTGATGTGTGGCATAACTTATGCAGGTACGCACTATACACAACAATCATACAAAGTAAGTGATTCATTCCCATTCAAATGGATAAACAAGAAGTGGAGAGAAGGTTTTCATGTGACCTCAATGGCCACTGCTGGAAGTCGCTGGGGTGTTGTTATGTCTAGAAATTCTGGATACACTGATCAGGTTTGTTGTTGATATTGTACTTCTGTATATGTAACCAAGTTTTTCTTTCATTATTTGTTTTTCTACCTTCTGAATGTTTGTATATTATTGAATAAACCTGTGTACCTTAAGATCCATTTTTCTTGGGAGTAGTAATAATTGTCTAACACTAACACTTTTTCAAATGTAGGTTATTGAACTTGATTTTCTCTATCCTAGTGAGGGAATCCACAGAAGATGGGATAATGGTTATAGGATTACAGCAACTGCTGCTACATGGGATCAATCCGCTCTGATACTGAGCATTCCCAGGCGCAGGCCAGGTGATGAAACCCAGGAAACTTTGCGCACATCTCAATTTCCAAGCACACATGTTAAGGTAGTGGTTGTTGAATGAAGTAGTTGATTTCGTTTGTAAAGTCGGTACCGAGAGTGATGTGTTTTAACTTGGGTTCTGTTTGTGTACAGGAAAAATGGTCAAAAAACCTTTACCTTGCTTGTTTGTGCTATGGGCGAACAGTATGCTGATTTGCTTTGTAGGCGAATGCGTACAAATCTTTTTGCGCCTCCTCCTATTGGTTCCGGGAGCGACTTTTTGTGATGTATTTTTTACACTCCAAAAAAGTCCATTCATTCTGAAATAAATAGGAAGTGGCAAAAGAGATTTAGGAAGTTGGATCTAGTATTTGTTGTCTGTAAAATTATACATTTTGTAATGGCCCAATCATGTAATAACCTGGCTGAGAATTCTGGTATCTATTACAAGTTCCATGGGGTGGGGAATGTGGCAGTTAATGTATACAGCTTAGCTTTATATGTTACTCCAATATATGTATATGGTTTTATTAAATTTTTTGTCAAGATTGTTTAACTGACCAGTCTTAATAAAACTTTGTATGGCTATTCCCTGTGCATGAGATACATTAATTTCTGTGCATCTTTACGACAAATGCGATTAGGGTTCGTGTATTTTGGTATCTGAAGGCTGTTTCTTTCCCATGTAGAATCCATCAATCAAAGAAACGAAGTCTTTTCGGTTATTGGAAATGATTTCCATTACCAGGTTAGTGGGGTTTCTTTATTAGTTATTATCACATATTGTTCAATGATCTAATGTAATTTTTTTTACTAGAATATTTTAAAATGATATATTCAGTGATTCGTGATGTTGAAGTTTTTTCTTATAAATAATAAATATATGATGGAAAATTCTAGCTGGATAATTCTAGATAACTTGAAATATTTTGTGGTAAACATATTTAGATAGAGAATTTATTAAAAGAAAAAAATTTAAAATTTTAGAAAATATTTAATTAGAAAAGGTTATAGAATTTCAATTATCAACGAACATAAAATTCTTAATAGTATATTGAAACTTATGTGTTAATTCTATGTCTCCCATATCTTTCTTTTAACTCTATCTGCTATCGTTTCTCTCATCTTATTATTTTTCTCTTCTCATTTTTTTTACTATTTTCAGTTTTCCTTCATCTCGATCTCTTCCTCTTCTGCCTTTATATTTGTCCTCTAAATATATTAATATTGATGTAAAAAACATTAATATATATAAATTTTGATTATTAAATATTTAGAAAGGGAATGTTTATTTTCATAGACATTTATACTAAAAATTCAATTTTTAAGTACGTTTTTTTGACAAACTGTACGAATTAGTTCTTTTGAAACAAAACTGTAATTTAAGAAGTTTTAAATTAAAATTAAAATTTCAAGTATTTTAAATTTTCTGAAATTTTAAAATTCTCATTCCAGTACTCCCTTGTGAAAAATTGGTAAAATTTAAAAATTCTAAGTATTCTATGATAAATATATTAGGGTTTGAAGTGGAAAAATACTTAAAATTTAATATTTCAGTTAGTTTTGAAGAGAAGGCTTAACACAAATAATTATAAAAAAAAAAAATGTAAGGCCAAGTTTTAAGTATATGCCGAAATGCGATAGTGGTCAGATTTCGAAATAATTATTATTAGTGATTTTATACAACAATTTAACTAAGTTTATTGGTTAAAATATCCTTAGTGATTTATTCTTTTTTGTTAACTAAGTTTTTTCTTAAACTCTTTTGTGTGATATAACGAGAAAGTGACAAGAAATATATTATTATGTTAACTAAGTTTTTTCTTAAACTTTTAACAATGTATATCAGATTATAATATATTTAAAGAAAACATGACAATCAAATAAAAATGTTATATTATTATGATTTTTTTTCTTAATGAATCTAAATATAAGCAAAATCTATCAGATAGTTTATTCAATATATTGAAAAAATGTGTAAATAAATACATGCTTACATATATATAATGATAATAATAATAATAATAATAATAATAATAATAATAATACGATTATATCATACTTTACCTATTAACTATTTTTACTTTATGTTCTTTAACTGACTGTCTTAATTTTGGAGGTATTGCCTCCTCTTTGATAGATTTCATGACTTTTTTTTTTATCTGCAGATACATGTTTAAATATTTTAAAATGAATTTGGAAAATAAAATAACCCAACAAAGAAATTTCACCAAACTTATCTTATGGTAGTGCACATTATCAATCTATAATTTTTCATATCAATGTACTCAATGTATCATCTAAAATGATTTCCCACTTTACATGAACTTTCCGTGTGGATCTACATCGGACAAGCGAGTTCAAACAATCTGTAATCTAAAGGTTGATTTCTTGCTCAACTTTACTCATCTAAACTCACATCTAACTTAATAAAACACTTCAGACTATTCCCTTCTATTTTCACAGAAGAGGAGCAAATATCCAGCATTTACTTGTCGTTGAAGTTTATCTAATACAAATTTTTCCAGGTGTTAGTGGAGATTAAAACCAAGCAGGGTGATTTCATGTAGTTGGTGTCCTTCCACATCATTCTCTGCATTTGTGTAATAAATTATTTCTAGAAGGAACTACAAATACAGGGATGCTGCAAAGACGATGTCCCTCTTTATCATGAACACAGCTTCTTCAAACTTTGCCTCAAGTTGAGTTTCCCCAATTGACTTAGCTGCTGCTATTAATTGCTGAAGAACTTCCTCAAGTCGTCTAATCGCTCTAATCAAGCTACCTTCAAAGACTTGTGTGATTTCCATGATCTCATAGAACTTTGAACCTTTCGCCCAAGCATACACAGCCTCCATAATGTCAGGCCTAAATGACTTCACAAAGCTCTCGACGTCAATTTCCACCTAATTATTTTCAAAAAAAGTCAAAGGAAAAAGAACTTGTTAATGCATTTTACAACTGAAAATAAATGGATACACTTTAGAAAGCCTACAAGATAGTGAACAGACACACTGAGACGCTTTCAAAGTTGAGCTAAATCAAAAGTGTTCAAGGAATGTGTATTGGACCTTAACAAGGGACAAAAGGATATACCCCAATTCCTTTTCACAAGTCACTATATAAAAGTATTTAAACATTAAATATCATTTTCCAATTCTACCCTTAATCACTAACTAATATTGAAAAGAAATTAATAAAATTTATAGGATTTTCAAATGAAGGTAGTTTTGGAGTATGGGTTTTTCTTTTTAATTCAAAACCTTTTAACAAATTTAAACAAACTTCATCTATATGAATTAATTAAAGATGATTTACAATAAGGAATGGAGGGGGAAAACAGAATGACTAAGACAGGACGGAAAACTAAAGGACCTAACTCAGAATTAGGAGTATCAAAGATGAAAATCAACGGTTTCTTAGTTGAAGATGTTAGTAGGAGTAATTTGTTAAAAAATTAAATGAAAAATTCGATCCTGTACCAGGTTAGGAAAGATACACTCCTAAAGGAATGCGAGAATGGGACAGAGGATGTCACCAAAGAAGGACGAAAGAGCACAGTTGACCAAAAGGAATCCCATTACAAAAGCATGGACAAGTAGTAGACAAGTCCACCATTTTGTCAAATCAAGTGGAACCATAACTGAATATCAATTTGCATTGGAAAAATAAAATGAAGTGATCAAAATGTCTAAGGTTTTCCCAGTCATCCATCCTCAAATGGAAGTAACTTGTATAAAACTTTTCAAATTTTCAGTTGAAACAATAATTGACCTAGATTTTCCAAAATAAAACCTGAAAAAGAAAATGTGCATTTAGACACCAGATATGCAATGCATTATTATTCTGTCATTACCTTGCACTCGAGCTGAAGTTGGGCAACTCTCCGAGCCGTGTCTTGTAATTGCATAAAAAGCAGATCAAGTTCTTCCCGAGGTTTGGCACCATCATGAATTTTTTCCTGCCAGACAAAACAAGAGAGGAGAGAAACCATCTCTTCCACCTTGATGTCCTTCAATACACCATTGAACATTAGTTCTGTTAGGGTCAATTCATCTGCGCTACTAATTTCACAAGCAACCTTCCCTTTTAACTCGACCACATTGTCACTTGTAGCATATCTGCAAGGATGATCTCACGTGAATATGATTTTCATCAACAAAAGTTAATCAAATGGAGGGGGGCTGAAATGATCCAATAGAGAGAAACAGACAAAAATAAGAACATACAAAATTTGCCAAGTTCACAAATTGGACTTTAAAAGTTGGATGTAAGTGATTAAGATCTATATGAAAGTTCTAAGTATTCGCCTAATACATATGGGACTGTTGATGTAAAGATGGTTTGGTGCCTTTGACTTAACGAGATTAAAGCAAATAAAAGTGATTACAGGCACACAAAAAAAACAAATCAGAAAAAATGACTAATCCATGTGGTAGCTTTAGGGGAGGGGAATAAGAAACACTACAAGAAGAAAGTAGAAAAGATTAGAGGATGGCTAATCCAACTTATCAGGGGATAGAAGCCTTCAAATGACAGAATGGAAAGAAAACAAACAGTTTTTTGTTGCATTTGTGCACAAGAACTGTGATTTTATTCCAAGGGAACAATTAATTCTTTTCAAGACTATTAGGAAAAAACTTTTGATACAAAGAGCTCAGAGCAAAACATGAGTCAAAGATTCAAGGTCTTGCAGCATAACAATAAAAAGAGGAAGGATGGGGGAAAGAATGAAGCACTAAACAAGTTTCTTTACCCGAGCCTCCGAAGAACTCTCTTTCTTGCTTTAAGTTCATCCTTGAAAGCTAAAGTAGTAGAAGATCTTAATGTTTTCTTAATGGACTTTATCTTTGCAGTAAGTTCTTGCTTCCTCTGTAAAACTTTCAATTTCTGTTTTATAAGTGGTGATTTCGCAATTTCATGTTTTTCAAATAGGCTCTCCAAAGCTTCTATCCTACGAGATGCTTTTTTATATGAGCTGCTTTGAATCTGATAAAAAAAATTAAAATGATGATTGTGTTATCAAGAAAGATTCAAAAGGAAAAATAAACTAATGAATGAATAAATGATCACAATACCTTCATGTCTTCTTCAGGATCTAGAAGGGGCAGTCCTTTCTCACCAAATCTAGAAAGAGTTTCCAACACTTTCTTCAGTGTATTTTCTCGTGCTTCCAATGGCAAAAGATCCTTCGGTATAAATAAACGCAGACTACTTATTGTATTGACCTGTTAACAGTAAAACATCAATAATGTATTAATCATAATTAAAAATAACGCATATACAATTCCATTAAAATCAAGCATTTTAACAATGGATTGGCCTGTATGAGATTACAAATACTGAATTTAAATCCCATGTAAGCTTCATAGGAGCAACACTAAAAAGTAAAAATTAAGAATCTAGTGTCAAAAGTGTACAAATGCAACTACATACTACAAATATAATGAGAGCAATTTTCTGGTTTTTCTATTCCTTCATTCATTATACCGTTTTTCAAGTGAAAGACGTGTTACTTTGGGCTTTGCTATTCCGTTCTCCATGGAGATTCCATGTCATATATGAAATACTATAATCTCTCCATCTCATGTTTCTTCCATTT